TAATAATCTTTTTAAAGTTTCTAAATATATACTCTACCTGCACGGAAGCGCCACCTATGGACACGGCCAGCACATGGCTAATTAGCATAATCATACGTGATGGTCACTGATGACACACATTTGAACATGATAGGAGAGGAGAATAAAGACAAACTATGGCACAGACAATAGCACCATGCAAAAGAAAAAAAAACAACATGAGAAACAAGCCGTTTGCATGGAAGTGGTGACAAATCAACAGAAAAAGGTGAGATATTCGATAAAACAAAAGGCAAACAACAGAACAATGTGAACAAGAAATGTCAAAGACGCATGAAAAAAATGATAGGAACATAAGAAAGGAGACAGTTGTAGACATAATCACAGAAAAAAAGTGCTAACGATCAGAGAGGAGGAAATTTGACAAATGAGGAAAGCATAACAAATATAAATGAATTAGAAGATGTAATACAGGATAGATCAGTCATTGCAACTGTGGATGAGAAAAATATTCATGATTTTGTTCTAAATAATAACCAGAAACAAAGCGTTCAAGACAATTATTAAGATGAAGATCAAAGTATTGACAATGAAGTAAAACAAAGAGAAAAAGATGAGGAGGTATTCGAAGCAAAAGATGAAAAAACAGAACAAAGGGAACAGGACTTGTTAAAGAGCAATATTTGCATATCCACTGCTCTCTCTCACTATGAACATGTAGTCATCAACTGCATTCATAGCATTATAGACGCAACTGCTTCTGCTATAAATGCAATTGCTCTTTCACACTCTTGCAGTGTAAGCTTACTTAAACTTCTATATTTTGTTGAGAAGTATATATATGAAATGTTTCGTAAAAGGAATAAATATACGTTTTTAATAATATTTCTTGGGAAAAAAGAAATTCAGATCAATTTAAAATTGCTGATTTATATTTTTAAAAATTTAATTTTGGTCAATATATTTAATTCTATAATAAAACTTTTTAAAAAATGAAGAGAACTGCCAAATTTTTATTTTTTCTTATCGTATTTTTGCATATTTGTACAAAGAACGATAACTCTTCACACTTGGGTGATAAAACATTCATAAAAAGCAAATTCAAGAACTATTTCAACTCTTAAAAACAAATAAAAAAAAAATAAAAAAAAAATCATATAGAAAAGCACTCTGGAGTTACAATGATTATTACAACATTCTCTTTTTTATCGTAAGGTTAAATTACAGTATTGATTTTTTGTCAGAGGGTTTCAATAACGTTGATCGATGACGTCACATCTGCATCAAAACAAAAATTCAGAGAATGTGACAACGGCGCAGCTTGTATCTGATAACTGTGTTTTAAAAGAGGCTAATACTTTATAAATTGTTTGTGATTTACTAGAGAAAAGGTGCAATGATCAGGTATACTAATTTTAAAGCCGTGTGTTTTTCTTTACTGAAGCCAACAAGCCACATCCTTATTAAAGTAACCGTATAGGGGGTGTTTTTACAAGTATTTATTAATGTACAACAATATATACAAACACAAACACAGTGAGTTCTGGCCCGGGTCGACTCCCTGCTCTGCTTCTGTCCCAGACACGTCCGGTCTAATCGGCATCCACATGTAGAAGAGAGAGAGTGCGACTATCCCTCCGTCTGACGAAATACAGACAGTAAGTCGTACCACGGGACAGTCGCACAGATACTACACTATGTAAGCCAGGATTTCCTCAGATATTCTTGACACCATCAAAGAATGCAAATATAAGTAATAAACAACGATTGTTTAGTGAACATGGCATTATGAATAGCAATATGCCAGCAGAGCAATTGCTATTCCTAACGCCATGTTCACTAAATAACGTTGTTTATTTCTTAATTGAAAAGAATTGTGTTGATGGCAATATAAATGAGAAAGATGCGGAACATAATTCACCGAGAAAGTGCTAGTGATCAAAGAAGAGGAGACTTGGCAAATGAGGAATCAAATCAACTGAAACAGATGAAGTACAGGATTGTTCAGACACAACAACTTTTCTGGATTTTGATCCAAATGATGCATTACCATCAGATTTAGTTTATAAGTGCTTGTTAATTACGAGAACAAACCCTATCCCGGCAAAATGATTGATTGTGATGAAGAGGAAGTATATCTCACCTGCATGCACAGAGTAGGAAGAAATTTAAAAGCTTTCACGTTTTATTGACCACTCGCAGACAAAAATATATGTGCTGGTACAGCATGGACAAAATAGTTGAACTCATTCCGAAACCCAATTAAACTTGTTGGTTAAAAGTATTATGTGGAAGAAAATCTATGGGAACGTGCTCTGAAAAAATTAAATGTAAAGTAAAAATAAATCAGAATTTATGTGAACTCTCTCTATTACGAGGGGTGATCAAAAAGTTCGAGAACTATATCTATATCTACAAAACCATAATTCAGATTAGAAAAAAAATTGGTACACGCATAGCCATACACAAGTTCTATAAATAGCATTTGCTGAATAAAGTTTTGCTCCTTGTTTGTGACGTCATAATGGGAAAATGACGTCACTGTGTAGGTCACTTGTGACGAAAAATGGTTGTCTCAATCGACAAACGACTCTGCAGTTTATGGTATATCTTAGAAATCACTTTGCAGTAGCATATAATAATTTGTATTATATTTCACGTGACCGCCTATATCACGTGATGAGCAGAACGGTGGTTGTTGTGCATTAAAATTGGAGAGGACTAATTTAAAATATAATCAACACTGAAACCAAATATTGTTTCTTTTATGGAAGTTATTCAATTAGTTTGCAAACTTTTTGATCACCCCTCGTACTATGAGAAATGACTAAGTGAACGTTTCCGCTTAGGGTTTGACTTATCCAATATCATAAAAGTATTTGTATATATCCTAATTTGATATGAAACACTGCACAATTTTCATATGGTTTACAAAATAATACTGTCTCTGGCGTTACCTGAAACCCATGAACTAGACTTATTTGCTTTTGAATTTTATGAAGTTTTTTAAAATGAAAAAGAAAATACCGAAACACACTTTTGGAAATATTTTATTAATTTCTAGTAACAAATCTACATGTATCTCAAAGATTTTTCTGTGCTCAAATGAAAACTTGGCGCTTCTTTGATGTCCATGGTGTTATGTATGTCAGTAAATTTGTATTCCCAAACCGTAAAAAGTCTAAATTATTTTTAAAAGTAAGAAGAAATCAACCAATCCATCAACTTTGTACTAATTATCAAAAGTTTATTTATTTCATGTACCGGGTATAACTAGAGACGAGCTCGTTGAAAAGCAACGAGTAGGTGTTGAAGCGAGACGTGAAACAACAGGCAAACAAACAAACAATCTCCTTAATCAGATTCATGCAAAATGTAGTTTTCAGAGACCTTGAATATGACCTTGAGAAGGATTCCAAATAGTTTCTGACTTGTTTATTAGTCAGGGCACTTTCATTTTTTTTTATAAAGAATTTAAAGATTATTTTAATGTAAAAATGCCCTTTACCATATATGAAGGTCCGAAGAATGCTGTTTAATATGCAATGCCAGAAGTAAAACATCTGGATATTTCTTTTGTAACAAGAGCAGTACAGTCTTCATTTTTTTTTTTACAATTTTGTGTAAAAATTAAAAAAAAAAGAGGATATATATATAATATATATATATATATATATATATATATATATATATATATATATATATATATATATATATATATATATATATATATGATTTGTTTATGTCTCAAGGAAACATAAACCTTTATGTGAAAGAAATTTTCGCTTACATTGTAAAATTTGTAATCTTTTCAAAATCAAAATGCCATGGATTTTACTAGATCGAGATATGTATTCAATATTCCGTTGCCAATGAATTATTTACACACTATTAATAAAATATGATTAAAAGATTTGTATATATGGCGATCTGATTACATATATGTACATGCATGTCTTTATGCCTATGAGAATGATGTTGTTTATCAAGCCGGATTATTTTTTAATCAATATTTTAAAATATGAAATATACATTTTAGTGAAATTTTATTGTTAAAAAGAACCAAATAAATGCAAGATTAGTAATATTAATATTCATACAAAGTCTTTCTGCATATGTTACTTATCTATGTTTTAAAAGGCATTTATTATTATTAATCCCCAACTGCTAAAATTTATCATTATCTTCTTTTGTTCGTTTCTTTTCTTTTAATATTTACATGTTGCTACTATCAATTTTGAATTTCTTCTTATACGTATTTCCCTTCATTTGTATGCTAAAAATTGATATAAATACGAGGGTTGTCCAAAAAGTTCGTGGACAATGACGTTTTTGTTAAAATCAAGGGTTTTATATAGATATTTTTATATCAAAATATTTCTTTTGAAAAAAAAGTTAGATAGATTTCATTTTTGTTGATGTAACTTTATTTTTTTGTAAAAACCGGGGTCTTTAAATGTCGCAGACAAATCTTGTTTTATCTTATAATTTACTTCTTGAAATGAAATTTTTTCAACTAGGCTGAATTAGAATTAATTAAATCTTGTGAGACCAATATCCTCCTCCAACATCGGTTACTGATATTTATAGTTCAAACTATAGTTCGAACAGAGAGATGTATTCCGACCTCTGAGCTTTATTCAACAGGTGCTTAGATTGGACCCTCCTTCCCATTCCCGCCATGTTCCGTACCCCAAAGATTCTCTGACTTTTAAAATAAAATATTTTTTATGACATATTCACAAAGTATTATAAGTGAAAAATCTTAAATTAAAGCTAGAACTAGGCTTTTATAAAAATTCATACTCTCTGATATTGAAACAGAGCATGGTTTTTTAAATTAAATGTTTAGTTTTAGCTTAAATTTAGGGTTTTTATATTTTATATTTATATTTTAACTAGATAATATAAAACGGACAAAAGCGAAATAATTGATGAACCTAAGTGGTCAAAATTGTTCAAACTCTTCATTAAGATATATAAAAGTAGAAACAAAGAAATAAATCAAGCCAAATAAGCAATATAATTTTATAAATCACATTTTACAAATTTAATTTGAGTCTCCTCCCTCGTTGTCAAATTTATATGTACATGTTTTGCCATGACTACCCTGTATCTGAAATACAATGATATAACAAAACGAATTAATGTAATTATTATCCATAAACATATGTATGTGCACATATTTGATAGGGCAACTTACGTTTGGTCCTTTATTGTCACAACGACAGTGGAACCAGGATTTCGTTTGTAACTTCTGTTAATTTTATCGTTCATTTTTCTTGCATATGGAGTCCAAGTTCCATTTTCATCTTTCCAAAACCACTGATCAACTGCATTATTTGTCAAAGAGTTTGTTGCGCAGTCGGTCTCTATGTCAGAAAGTTCATCATCCACTCGATTGTTCTTAAAATATTTTCCCCTGGAAATTTTCAAGATAGGAGGACTATCCACAGGTTTTTCGCAAGTCTTCTCAGTCTTAAAATTATGATCATTAGTAGAGGAACAGGAGCCGGTGCTTGGTGCTTTAAAGAGAAAATACGATCTGTGAATTTTACATTTCCAACTTTACAAAAATGAAATCTTTTCTTCTTTTTAAAAACAATTAGAGATTTGCTAGATTAAAAAACTTTCCATTCACAATTTAATATACTAACACATCAAAACCTGTAATTAGAATTCACAAGATTGTATTTATAAATTTTACACTTGTATTTAAATTTTTACGAACAGATTGGCTAGCCATTGAAAAAAAAATCGACACATCTTTTAGCTTGACGAAGTACCTGTTGAGAAAGCATTTTCATTAACGTTCATGGATGAATCCTTCACAAGAGAGATAGCTGCGGCTTTTCTCTTTTGGTCTCGAAGATACCTGGCAGACTCCGGTGAGAAAGGGTCACTGTAGTTGATATGGAGATATATGGTAGAAATTTGATATAACTAAATTAGTCTACAGTGAATATATACAAGGATTGTTTTGAACAACTATTTAACCTTGCATCAACTGTAAAGGCCCTTTGCATAACAAAAGCAACAACAACAACAACAAAAACTAAGTCATCTAATACACCAGTTGTCTAGCAACCATTTTAGGACATAATTTCATTCTTAATATTCATGTACTAGTGCTGTGCGTATGACCGATTTCTAAAACGAAGCAAGCTATCGATAACCAAGTTGATGAAACAAGATATCAACAGATTATGGTCGATGTACGTACAATGACCTTGTCAGCAAAAACAACAAATCATCAAGTCACACGCTGACTGACGTGTTTTCATATTAATTGTTCATCCATTTCATTCTTTACGAATTTCCTCTTTTTTCCTGATCATGACAAATTAAAGAACACACAACGGGTGTGACTAATCGGCGAGGGACGCTCAATCCTCCATGACACCTGATCCTTTTGCACTCTGATGTTTTTGAAGGTCCATGTTTGCTCCCGATTTCTGTTGTTAAAACGCAACCTTTGAGCTTGAACACTGTACGTTCGTCATCTCTATACTTGTATTCAATGGGGACGATAATCAAGAAAATGAAATTTTACTTGTAAATGATGCTAAAATTTGGTACACACATAGATCAAATTTCTTAAATACATATGCTGTATAAAGTTTTTCTGACCATTTTTGTGACGCACAATGTGAAAACAAATGCACAAGGTTAGATTAAAAATAGTATTTCTTTCAGTGCTTTATGAAATGATTGAACAGCAGGCATGGTTGCCTTTAATATTCTTTCTATATTATTAAAATTTATGAGAGGTTCATAAACACAAAATCAAATCTTTCTATAAAGTTAATCATTATTGCATTTTTTTTTATTATAACGGGTTAATGAAAATTAAATGGCTATATAGCTATTATAAACGCAAATTTGAACAGAGAAATTGCCTTTAATTAAGCAATTAGCTATCAAAGACCCACCATTTTGCACTCCCCATTGAATGTGGACCTAGATTGTATATTGTTGATATCGTCCTCTTTAAAATTTTTATTTCTTTTTTCACCGTAGGTGTCAGAGCCTTTTCTGTATTACAAATACCTCTAGTGACTAAGCATCCTGTGGCAATCATTTCATTTTCCAAAATCCTAGGTTCCTCACAAACAGCGACGTCATATTTATCCTTCTCAGTACTTGTAGTACCGTATCTATAGCCGAAATTCAAACCTGTATCCCATTCTACGTTTAACCACCCAGCTGTTTAATACAAGATACAAAACTTGATCACTCATCTAGATGCTTTCATTAAATTTTCAATCAGAAAAAATCTATATTATTATTAATATCTTCTATGTATTTGCAATAGTTGTATATGTGAATGCAACAGAGAACAAATGAGAAAACCGTATGTCCTCTGTAACTCGACCTAACAATGCATTTTTATATTGTAAATATTGTTTGGTATTGCTTCAATTGGTAAGGTTTTAAACACAGTTTTAAACAAATGTTTTACGTTCTTGTTATAAAAATTTTTGATGCCCTGTAAAATATAAAACCAAAAAATCTTTAGCCCATTTCCAGTCCCTCCCACGCTTGACCCTTGACCCAAAGGATCATTCGTGATTTTTTCCTTAAACAATTCATCCGGAATCTCTGTTCTTAAATCATCCCATGAACTGTACAGAGACTTTTTCGAACAAATTTCAAAATATCATCCTGAATAAATGCAAATGAAATATACTTCAACAAATTTCTAAATGCATATTACAAATGTACCTTGACTGATAATTAATTAACAGAGAAAATTGCAATGAACCAATGAAATGAACCAATGAAAAAAACCGCCAATGGAAAAAAATACCACGGGTGTGTTTCATCTTTATGTCAGTAACTGAACCTGTATCCTGCTCTGAACATTTTCCCATGGTAATTCGCAAGCTACAAACGTTAAACCATTTCGCGGTCAAAAAAGTATTTCTTTCAGTGCTTTATGAAACGGCAACATAGCAGCACTATTCTAACATTAAAAGGTTTGCTAATGTGTACAGATTTTAAAATCAAATCAATAATCAAATCCAAAAATACATGTATATAATTTTTGAATATCATTTTTTTAATGTGTAATATATTATAAACGCACGTTAACAACGCCATTGCCTAAAACTAACGGTTGCACACTTCTGTCTCCTACATGCAAGATGAAGACAATCGTATTGCATATTGACATATATTTCTCGCATGTTGACATATTTCATTGCATGTAGAGGGCAGATAAGAAAAACCCAGATAATATCTAAATATTGTTTTTACTGAAATATATCACTACAAGTGAACAGAATATTACTGAGCTTCATACCAAGTTTTCAGTGTACTTTGCAAATTGCCTTATGTCTCGCCGAAACTCAAACCTGTATCCCCTTGATTTAACCATCCAGCTGTTTAAAAATGTCTGCAAAACTTGAAATTATTTCACAAGACATTTTCTAATTATTTTTGTATTATGCATATGCTAATTGGTGAAAAATAATCTTATTCACATCTCCTATGAATTTGCAATAGTGATGTATGTGAATACAACAGAGAACAAATGAGAAAACCGTACATGTATGTCCTCTATAAGTCGAGCTACAATGCATTTTCATATTTTAAATATTGTTTGGTATTGCTTCAATTGGTAAGGTTTTAAACAACAGTTTTAAACAAATACAAACGGATAAAGGGTATTTTTCTGGTTTATGCACCAAAACTCTTTTTTTTTTGCACATTTCAACTTTGGTATTTATAGTGGAAGTATGACCCCAAAGGACACTTTCATGTAACCCTCTTCTGTTAAATAATTAAAATTCGTGAGAAATAATGTTCTTGGGTACGCAAAATTTCATTGGTATGTGGTGATGTTATTTTATGGGTAACTCGTACTTGTAAATACAAATGAAATATACATTGGCAAAATATTTCTCAATGTTTATTGAAGTAAATGGTAGGTTCACTATAGTTAATAAAATAGAACATCATTATACTTATTAACTGACCAAGTCCTTACGTCCCATTTTGAACATCAACATAATATGGAGACTTGGTGCTTTCATTTCCTATAAAAAAATTTCCTCTGAGAGTCCATGTTTTGATATGCAGGCTATGTGAAACTACAATGTTCTTGAAGTTTGAACAAAATTAGTGAATTTGAGCATCTTCAACTATTGATTAAAATATGGCAACATAGCAGCACTAAAATTGTTTCATTAAAAAGAGTTCTTTCATTATATAGTTAAACATTTTAGATCAGAGGTTTTGGGTTATGCAAAATATTCAAAAACGTCTTGAAAGTTTGGCCATTTTTAAATTTTTTTTTCAAGATGTGAGGAAAATGACACAATTCATGACGTCATAATGCATGGACAAGAGAAGAAATTACGTCATTTTTATTTGATATGAAATCACCAAGGGTCCAAGTAAAAATTAAGGTAATTCCACCCTCCAATGATGTCATAAGTTTTTGCAAAAACTGTAATTAGTTTAAATTCATACCTAATAGAACAATATCTTTTGGAAAAATGCTTTACAATAGGAGTAATGATAAATATTGTTAAGTAAAAGAATTTTAAAAATGCATATTTTCTTTATTTAATCAATTATTCAATCTTTAAAAAATGTTGACAAGGCCAATAACTCTTTCGAAGGTCTCTTCATTCGGGCATTTGCTTTATTGCACTTCTAATGTAAAATAGTTTCCCTGATATTCACAATTCAAAAGTAGAGAGAGAGAGAGAGAGAGAGAGAGAGAGAGAGAGAGAGAGAGTCAACCAGTTTTTACATATTTTTCCATAATACTGTTTACAAAAAATGTGCGATTTTTTGTGTTGAAATACACTTCTGTTTATTTATGTTTCGCATCTTAAATAATATGGTGACCTATACATTTTTTGCAATAATTTGAAAATTTAAAGTTCATTAAATGAAAATAAATGCAGTTTTTGTACTTTGAACCATTAAAATTGTGGGGGTGGAAACACCTTAACATATTTTCAACTAAAAATGAGCAGTTCTTATTTTCCAGAAATTCACAGGGCCATAAGAGGCCCAAGGTGAATTTTGTTCTTTGCGGATAAAGGGTGACCCACGAAATCCACGAACATTAAACCCTCAAGAAGATTCGTGAATTTACAGTATCCAAATTTTGTACATCACTATGAACAATAAAGAAATATTTTGCAAATGTATCTTCAGTATTTACAAGTACGGGTTACCTATAAAATAACATCCCCACGTACCAATGAAATTTTACGTACCCACAAAAACATTAATTTCAACAGCGGTATTTTTTACTTACAATAAGAACGTGATTGCCTTTGAATTTATCTGAAATTTAACATTGTTTAAAGATGTGATAAATATTATAAAATTGATTGATCTTCTAAACACTAAATAGTGTAATAGACTGTACTACTCGTAAACTGTTTGAATACCCTTGCAGTTGCATATGGAAGATGATCATCAGCATCACTAACAACAGTGAAGTCTGTGGGTTTGCCGTCAGATATAAGAATTATTCTGGGATGAACGCGAAAATCACCAATTCTTCTTATATGTGCTATTAAATGTATAAACTAAACAGTTAAAGGTGTCATTTGTAAGAATATTTTAAAAGTTCACTTAAGTTTCATGTAAACGTTATAGAAGGTGTAGACGATCTGAATAAGGTAAGATAATATAAAGAGAATTTATAAAAATATTTTATCATTCATGTACTCAAAGATGGCAGATCAGTATTTATTTCATTTTAAAATTCCGTATATGATCTACATGTAAAACCACTAGTCTACATAACTTTTTCATTTTCATCATGTTTAAAAATAATACATATTTAGTTCTCTCTCGAACAGTACCTGAACCATTTTGTAAACAGCCGATAGCTAAAAAGAATGCAGCTGTAAGAGGAGAATGCCCTCCAAAATCGATGTCATCTAAATAAAAGATAATTAAAGTAGAGTTAATTAGAATCAAAAGAAAATTTCCATGAATTAATAAGGAAACAGAAGCAGAAGAACTGAAAAAATGGGAAAATTTAAAGCTATATATGGCGTATCTGAGCTAAAAATAAAAAATACGAGATTAAGTGTAGATTTTCATGATACTTGCTATTTACGTTCAAATTAAATTTTTCACTAATTTTTAACCTTTAATATTAATAAAAGTTTCTATGGTTATTACTTTTAACTGTGTCTGATATTCAGATAACTCGGATATCTATGAAACGCGATTGATTTAAGCTGTGTAATCTACAGGAAAGTCTCGTCTTTATATAAAGTTACAAAACAAATAGAAAGATCTTTTTAATTTTAGGTTGTTTAACTTACCTAAATACGCCATATATGAATTTTATTAAGGTAGTACGAGTGTGAAATCAAAGTAATGGAAAACAAATAATTTTGGTATCAATGGATACATATATGTATAAACAATGCATGATTATAATATAAAAAAAAAGAGTGTAGCCGTTTGCCCTCTAGTGGTTGCCAAACTAAGGGAGGTAACTCTGTGTAATATTTTCCTTAAAAATATAGTCAATCTTCAAACTAAAAAAAATAGGTCAAAGAAAATGTAAAAATTTTAAATGTTTATTTTTATTAAACATAGGACATCTGTTCTAAAAATTGAATCAATAAAAAAGTTATTAAAAAAATCTTAACTTAACTTGTGGCACCACCCATGACGTCAAATTTTTCTCACCAAAATACACAAGTTGTGGATCTTAAACAAATTATAAAGCACAGACAGAGTAATGGAAACAGAAAAAACAATATATTTTCCTAAAATATAACAATAATCAATCAATGTGTCCAAATTTCAGAAAAAAGAGTGGAGCCATTTTGAAAATATTTAACCCGAAATTCTTCTGACCAGCTTTCCTCTGCAAAATTTTCATGTTTATAACTGCTCTAAAATTGTCATCTACAATTCAATAAAAAAAAATTAAATGGAAAATGAACATGGTACAATACTTAAAGAACTATAAATTAGTTGAACAACATTCATTTGTAAAATTAAAAAAGTTAGTGTTTCATTAAATATGTTCTCCATGCATATAGCCAACAATATTGTCCAATGATTCGACACAATAAAATATGAAAAATATGAACTGTTATCACATATTTTACAACATGCAGAGTAATGGAAATAAAAATTGCAAAGGTTTCTCATAAAATATAACAAAAATCAATCAATTTATCTAAGTTTCAGAAAAAAGAGTGGAACCATTTTGAAAATATTTAACCCGAAATTCCTCTGATCAGTTTTTCTCTGTAAAATTATCATGTTTACAACTGCTCTAAAATTGTCTCATTTACAATTCAATAAAAAAATTTAAATGGAAAATGAACATGGTACAATATTTTATGAACTATAAATTAGTTGAACAACATTCATTTGTAAAATAAAAAGAAGTTAGGGTCTAATTAAATATGTTCTCCATAAATTATAGCCACCAATATTGTCCAATGATTCGACACAATGAAATATGAAAAATATGAATTGTTATCACATATTTTACAACATGCAGAGTAATTGAAATAAAAAATGCATAGGTTTCTCATAGAATATAACAGAAATCAATGAATTTGTCTAAGTTTCAGAAAAAAGAGTGAAACAATTATTTCATATGTTGCATGATGAGCTTACTAGGCAGCATTAGTTTTTTCCCAATATTTTCCAATATTTCATGTACTGGAAAACATAGGAAATGTGAATCAAAACACAAGTTTGACTACAGACAATAAAAGTATTGGAAACATTGAAAATAATTGTATCAACATAAGTAACATTGTTGATATCACATTCCAATGAAAATGAACAAGAAGTCTGTGAGCCAATGCTCAATAGTATATCCCTCGCTCTGATGTGAATATATAGTATGCCAATGTTAATATACACAAATTCAATTACGGTCAGTCAATGCACATATAAATAGGAACTACCGTAATAATATGTGATCTAACTTTCAGCAAGAGCATTTTGAAAAAAATCGGCAATGGCATCTATGATCCTCTTAGAAGTTGTTACTCTGGGTTTTCCACGAAACTGTTCTTTCAAAATGTCCTCTATTCCTTGCCGTCCTTCTCTAGTATGAGCCAATTGTAAGTGTTGGAAACAAAGGCCACTATTTGCTATCTTAGAGGCTGTTCTCTTTGTTATAATTTTCTGATGAAGAAGGGGTGATAGACTGCTCTCACAGGGCTTTGATTGTTGACAATGAAGAAACCGCTCCAATGTTGATGCAAGTGAGAAAGAATTTTTTACCTTGTCAGCAGTTGTAGGGTTTGAGTGACATAAAAGTCTCTGTAAAGCTATTACATCCTGCAGAGCATCATGAGCCTCGTATGCTTCATCCAGTAGATGCTTGAATAAATTAGTCTGAGAATAAGAGCTGAGACCTGGCTCCACAAGCTTGAATAATGGAAGAGTGTCGACAAATCCATCAACACGTTCAACAAATTTTTCCATGATTCCACAAGAAAGTAATGCATGAAAAAGGACAGGAACATCAAATTTCTTTATGTTATGACCAAATAACACCACACTAGTACTATTGTTGCTCGACAAAAAATCCAAAAAGCTTGTTAGACCTGTTGTTATATTCACTGCTTTAACCTCTTTGTCATGGTGGTACATTTTCTTTGCTTCTATCCTGATTCCAGTTAATTCTCTGACTTTTGGTGGTATTGGAGCTTTTGGAAGTATGTATTCATTGAAGTTGTGTTCTCCTTTGATGGCTGCTATCTGTAGTATATGTGATGTTCTAGCTGAAATACAACATAATGTATAATGTATTGTAAACTAGATAAAAATGGTATACATGACAAACATTTTACTCCTAACAACATAAAAATATTTATCCTGCATCTGATAAGATTCGTAAAATTTCACTGGTTGAGAAGAATACTGTATCAATCAATACTATGCTGTCTACCCACATCATATTGCTAATGTGCCCCCCTCCATATAATGACCTACCCAACACACATGAAATCAATATGTCCCCTCCGTGCACATATACATTGTTTTCATTTGAACATGCAAAGACCCTAAAAACTAACGTCATATGAACACTAAATGATGTTACAATGTAAACAATTGTTACAGAACGATTTGCTAACTCAGAAAAAAAGAACTTTATTAAAAAATCTTGGACAGAATAAATTTGTAATGTAGATCATGTACTTAGAGGGGTAATACTGAAATATGTGGGGTCCTTGAAAAAATACATATTGGGCAAGGGGAATATGCATTTTATCAAGGACCCCACACATTTCCGTATTACCCCTCTAAGTGGCTAACTAACAATATTTAAAAAAATATTCATATTCATGGATTCATACTTTGGGATGTTCCAAGAGTACATGTATTGAAAATGCATATAGTTCCTACTGTGTATGCTAACGCATGGTGACAAGATTTCAATAGAGATTTGAAGGTCATTGATTTCTAATGGATTTTATAAAGAATATTACAATGAATGTAAATATAAGTATATCAAACTCAAAAGTCAAGGCCTGAGGGGCAAAATAATTTTTACCAGTACCTAAACCAGTTGTTTCCAAGTCAAATATTATTTCTTTTGCTTTGGTCATAGGCATTGTTTCTACAGGTATGTAGGGAGGTTCCACGATTGGTGCTGGTATGTTCTCTATATCTTGACACTCCTCTAAAGCGCATCCAGGTGCGTACGAAGTTCCTTCTCTTACTTCGTTTGATGTTGTATTCTGCTGCCTATGAAATAAAAATGATATCTGAAGAACAAATATACCCCACACTTTATTGTACAATTGTTTAGAACACTATATATCTGCGTTCAGGTAACTTTTGACATTTTCAACTGAAAATCAAAACAGTTTATCAGAAATTCCACTTATTGCATATCTTTTCTATCAAGCAAATGGCTTTCACCATAATGGACAGACTCTAATTATGTTCCCCAAACGGAGTTTGGGAACATATTGTTTTTACTCGGTTTCTTATTATTATTAAGGTCTTCCGTCTTCACGGAAGACCTTATAGTTATTCTACTGTTTCTTATTATTATTCTTTTTATTTTTTTTTCCAAAATTTTGTGCACGCGATTTCTCGAAGACTACTGAATGGAATTACATGAAATTTTCAGAAACGATGTATCGTAATATGAACTTGATCTATCTGAGCGATTTTTTGAAAATTCTTATCTAGTGCCAAGTTACGGGACATTTCCTGATTTTAAAATGACATTTTGTCTGTGGTTAATCTCAAGAACGGTAAAAGATATCAATGTGAAACTTTCAGGGATTATAGATCGTGATAGATACTATCCAGGACGCGACCTTTCGTTCGTCGTCAATACTTCCTGTCGTTAGGAGATGCGAATTGAAAAAAGCGTATTTTCTAACTTTTTTGTTTTCCAATATTTTTTATTTATTTTTGGAATATTAATAGAGACCTTTCTATTGATGCTTACTATATAAGTTGTTTGATTATTGGTTAATCTGAACTCTAGATATTAATATTTGAAAATCTGAAGCGGGCCCAAGATGGCGGCTGCCTCTGTCAACTCCACCATATCGCGAGTAGGGGTTTATGGAGGCAGCTGAGCGTTTGATTAAACGATTCTGACATAAGGATACATGAAATGTAAAAAACTACTTCGACTCTCACGTAGTAGTGGTTGGAGGAGTTACGTCCCGTTACTTGTTTATATTATAATAGCTAATCAATAAAAATATTGTAATTAATTGGTCAATTGACAAAAGAATTATACAAGTATTATTGATAAATGATGTTCTGTTAGAAAATAATAATAGTGTTGCCAAAAGAAAGGCAGTCTGTTGTATTTTATCAATATGATATCTGATAACTTATGATCATTGATTAAGTTGAGGTACAAGGGGACAGTACAGCCACCCGGCTTGTGTCTTCACTTTGGTACAGAATCCAATTGGTGTAACGATCAAATCGGATTGTGCAAAGTTACTGTAGTTAGTGACTAGTTAAAATGTAGTTGCGTGACATCAGCTATAGGTTTGTCATTAGGACAGAGAAGCTCTTACAAAGTTAAATCATACTGTGTAAGTATATTGTAGCCAATTGGCTAGAGTTATATAGGCAACTTGGTAAGCAGTAATACACCAGGCAGGTGTTAAAGGCTAAATCAAGACAATTATCAGATGGCACCAGGCAGGTGCCGGTATTAACTGAAGATATATAATTATACAAAGCACTTAGGTCATTTGATTTAAAGACACCAGGCAGGTGTCATATTATTATCTGTATATATTGCATTCAATCATATCCCTAGTAAAACTCGGTAATCCGAGCACGGACCTACTGACCGCTCAGATTCGACACGTTACAGTAGTACGTTGCAATTGAGTGTCAATCTTAAAACTTAATTTCCGTTTCACTGCTTTAGTGTAACTGGGCTAGATACGATATGTAATGTGTATAATGTGTTACATATACTTTTTTAACGTCGAAATGAAATAAAGGCGCTAAGAATGTTTTATTTTTAAAATTTTGATTGATGCTATCATACCTATCTAATAGATCAGTCCAAAGAAAAGGCGCGAATATTTACTCGTGGCGTTTGGCGCGAAATTATGAATGCTTTTTATAATTCTTAGACAGACTGTTGCAAAAGTACCGTGGTATACACAAGTATATTTAGAGCAGTACTCCCAATAGCTTAATGGTTAGCGCGTTGGGGATATAAAAGTAAAAAAAAGCGCATTCACGTTGGCGACATGATATGGTTTCAATCCTCCTTGTGACCAAAAATTTTGAATCTCTTTTCAGCTCGATTTTACGAGGGTTTCTTTTCCTAAAACGGACGGAAGACCTCTCGTTGCTCGCAACGAGATCGTATCTAGTTATTATTAAGGTCTTCCGTCTTCACGGAAGACCTTATAGTGATTCTATTGTTTCTTATTATTATTATTATTATTATTATTATTTTTCCGTACACTAAATTTTGTGCACGCGATTTCTCGAAGACTACTGGGTGGATTTTCATGAAATTTACAGAAATTATGTGTTGTTATCTGAAGTTATTTTTTCCGAGAGATTTTTTGAAAATTCTCTTCTGGTGCCAAGTTACGGGACATTTTCTGAATTTAAAATGACATTTTGTCTACGGTTAATCTCAAGAACGGTAGAAGATATCAACATGAAACTTTCAGGGATTATAGATCGTGATATTCACTATCCAGGACGCGACCTTTCGTTCGTCGTCAATACTTCCTGTCGTTAGGAGATGCGAATTTAAAAAAGTGCAATTTCTAACTTTTTTGTTCTTCAATATTTTTCATTTATTTTTGGAATATTAATAGTGACCTTTCCATTGATGCTTACTATATAAGTTGTTTTAGTATTGGTTAATCTGAACTCTAGATATTAATATTTGAAAATCTGAAGCGGGCCCAAGATGGCGGCTGTCTCTGTCTACTCCGCCATTTCGCGAGTAGGGGTTTATGGAGGCAGCTGAGCGTTTGATTGAACCATTCTAACATAAGGATACATGAAATGTGAAAAATTACTTGGACTTTCACGTAGTAGTACGTTGCAATTGAGTGTCAATCTTGAAACATAATTTCCGTTTCACTGCTTTAGTGTAACTGGGCTAGATACGATATGAAATGTGTACAATGTGTTAAATATACTTTCTTAACGTCGAAATAAAATAAAGGCCATAAGAACGTTTTATTTATTTAATTTCATTGAAGCTATCACACCTATTTAATAGATCAGTCCAAAGAAAAAGCGGAATATTTACTCGTGGCGTTTAGCGCGAAATTATGAATAGTGGTCCGCCTTTTATAATTCTTTGACAAATGTACTGTTGCAAAAGTACACAAAAGTATATTTAAAGCAGTGCTCCAAATTATAGCATAATGGTATGCGCGTTAGGGATAAAAGAGAAAAAAAAGTGCATTCACGTTGGCGACCTGAGTTCAATCCTCCTTGTGACCAAAATTTTGAATCACTTTTCAGTTTAATTTTACGAGGTTTTTTTTCCTGAATCGGACGGAAGACCTCTCGTTGCTCGCAACGAGATCGTATCTAGTTATTATTATTATTCTTTTTTTTCTTATTTGTTCTCCGGTACTTTTTTGTCCGGAAGTGTTCTCAGAAACTGTTCACTCAACTGACCTAAAACCTTTTTAGGGTTAATGGGTGTGTAGTGTAGGTGTGCAGAACGAAGGTCATTTTGCGCGCATACGCATGCACGTGCGTGCGCGTGCAACACGTGAAATGACTTATATACGTAATATAGCTATAACTTTTACATTTTTCAATGAAATGATTTGAAACTCATTATATAAAGATATATTAATAGTGTAGATAATGTGACACTGTCAAATTAGCACAAACTCACGCGCATGCACGTGCGCTTCGCTCTGATTGGCTAAAACTAAAATCTCAGTATCTTCTCTGTTTTTTGACGAAATACTTTGAAATTTAAAATATAGTCATGAATGAGAATATCCTACAACATGATATAGAAAAAATTCATGAAATCACGCGCATACACGTGTGCTGCAATCTGATTGGCTGAAACTTTAAATGACTATATCTCCTTTGTTTTTTGACGAAATGCCTTGAAATTTAAAACATAATCATACATTAGGATGTCCTGCAATATGATATACAAAAATTTCAAGAAATTACGCGCATGCACGTGTGCTGCGATCTGATTGGCTGAAACTTTAAATGACTATATCTCCTTTGTTTTTTGACGAAATGCTTTGAAATTTAAAACATAGTCATTCATTAGGATATCCTACAATATATGATATAGAAAAAAATTCATGAAATCACGCGCATGCACGTGTGCTGCAATCTGATTGGCTGAAACTTGAAATGGCTGTAACTCCCTTGTTTTTCAACCAAACAGGATTGGATTCAGAACATAGATAAATATTAGGGACTTCTACAAGAAGGTATGGTCATCATGCACGTGCACACACGTGCGTGCATTTGGAAGAATGAAATTAGAAATACAATTGAATGAGTGATTTTTAATACTTTTGGACTGAATGCTTTCATATATAGTATATTACAGGGAATATGGCACTAAAAGGGAGTTGGGGAGCGTTTGGGGAACATCTGTAACGGTTCCCGTTACAATTAGCACTAGTTATATATAGT